GATACAATAAGATGAGAGACTCGACCTTGAACAATTCTTTAAACTTTTAAACATATTTGGAGCTTGGTTGTGCCAGGGTTTGAGCATTGGAAGAGTTGAGATTAAGAGATTGAAGCTTTGAGATATTTGGAGCTTATTTTCTTCAGTTTTTCTATTCCTTTTCCTTTCCTCTCTTGTAATCTAAAAATGGGTTCACTTATTTGTATATTTGTAACTTGTGGATGATTATGAGTAGCTAAATCTTTTGTTCTAGATTATTTAAAACCCTTGTATGGATTAAACACTATATTTCTCCTCTCTTTTTGTGATTACTGATATATATGTGTTTATTTTACTCTTTTTTTAATGCTTCTACTGATGGCCACCATTTAAATATTGGGTTCACTTAATTGACGCTTGAGAGGGCTAGGTTGAGGGTAGAATTGAGTAAAATTGCTTGAGAGGGCTAGGTTGAGGGTAGAATTTGAGTAAAATGTGTAAGAAATTAATATTTGCATGTTGAATGGATGATTTTGCTAGTAAGATAGAATATACGTGCTAGCTTGCATAGCCACATTAGGGTTGGTATTCAAAATTGAGTTTTAATTGTAACAAGAGATTGAGCAATAATTTAACTAAATACTTGTTCATGATTGAGAGAGCTTGTCCAAGTATTTTGAACCCTAAGTTAGCACTTATTTTCATTAAAAGCATTTATGAGAGGAGGTAATTTTGATGTTATGAAATGTAAGGGGATAAATAATCTAAGTTCTAAATTGTGTTTGAAGTTTGTGAATCACTTTACTTTTCTTTATTTTCTAGTGTTAGTTTCATTTTGCAAAATTTTTCACCTAATTATGTGTAGCTCAACTTGATCAAATTTACTTAATCTTTTATTTGATTATAATTTTTTAAACAAATCCTCGAGGGAACAATACTCTACTCATTTTATATTACTTGTTACAAACTGTGCACTTGTGGTGAGCAATAAGTTTTTTGGTGCTGTTGCCGGGGGATTTGCTTTTGAAAATATTTTGATCAACCTTAGACTAGTGATATTAGATTTCGCTTGAGCTTTGTAGATATTAGTTCTAGATTTTTATTTGTCTTTGTTTAGTGATTTTGTTTTAGTTTGATACTTCTTGGGTTGTTTCTTCTTCAGGTACCCATTTGGCATATGCAAACCATAGGCCCAGAAGGATTGAAAGTAATACTTGAAGGATTGACAATCTTTGAAGAAGCCAAGTCTCCTAATTCTGAAAGAACTCCTGAAACTCAATCGGGAAACATGGCAGAAGATCAGTATGACACCGCCTCAGTCAATGACTTTGCTAATCAGAATCTGAGGGGTACTCAATCTTGTATTCAAATGCCGGAGTTTTAAGCACATACTTTTGAAATCAAGCCTGCCATGATCATAATGCTTTAAATGAATGCTGCGTGTTTCATGATCTATTCAATGAGATACTAACAAGCACTTGATGTCTTTTGTGGAAGTATGTAATTCTTTCAGACAAAACAGGGTGCCTAAAGATGTCTTGCGCTTGCAGTTATTTCCAATTACTCTACAAGATAAGGCTAAAGAATGGTTCAATAATCTTCTCAAAGGTTTTATTGATTTATAGGAGGATCATGAGAACAAGTTTAGAGCTCGATTCTTCTCTGATGATAAAACGGTGGAAGCAAGAGATGACTTTCTTAGCTTTAAGAAATATCCAGATGAGCATCTCTATGTAACTTGGGAGAGATATAAGATGTTGATGAAGAAATGCCTTAATCATAGGGTGGACAAATAGGTAGTGATTCAGATTTTTCTGTAATCGTTTGAATCCATCTTCTAAGACCATGGTTGATTCTATCACAAATGGGGGATATTAAAATGTGCCTGTTAATAAAATTTTTTCGCCTCTTAGATCAATTGTCTGCGAACAACATCAAAACATGGATAGAAGGAATACAATGGTGACTAGTGCTAAAGATGATTCGTGACTAGTGCTAAAGATGATTCTTCTTCCCAAATTGTATCCATCTTGAATGCAATGAACAAGCGTTTTGATGTGTTGGAATCTCAAATGCAAAAGAGAAATTCTCATAATGTGCATGCTATCCAAGCCATTCCAACTGTGTGCAATCAATGCAATGATATTCATATGCCCGATCAATGTCCTCTTTATATGACCACTGAGTCTGTCAACTATATGGGCAAGTTTCAAAACCCTTACAACAACCCTTACTCTTAAACATACAACTTAGGATGGAGGAATCATCCTAATTTTCATGTATTCAAGAGAATTCTTCAAATCAACCTCATCTTCCAATGTTAAGCCAATTCACCCTCCGGGTTTTCAAGCTCCACCAAAGCCAACGCCGGTTAAGGAAGAGGATTCTAGAATGGAAAATATGTTAGCACAAATCTTGTGTAATTAAGAGTCTGCAAGAGTTGAAACTAAGGCAACTCTTACTCTTCATGATACCGCAATTAAGAATCTTGAAGTGTAAATGGGGCAATGGGCTTCACAAATGAATGCCATGTCAAGAAGCAACCTCCTTAGTGACACAATTCTAAATCCTAAAAGGGATGGTAAGGAGGAGTGTAAAGCAATCACTTTGAGATATGGGATGCAATTACCCAAATTCTTATGCCAGGTGCAAGTGGTGTAAGTAATGGTGCTACTAAGGTGGTTATTGATAATAAAGTGATTAATGAAGAAATTGTGGTTGAAGAGTGTGACAACTCGAAGAATAATCAAAAAGAGAAAAAGAATGAAGATTAAGCCAAAAAGGTTGGTGATGAGAAAAGCAACAAGAGGCCAAGCCAAAATATGTGCCTCCACCACCTTTTCCTCGAAGGCTTAGAAAGCAACAAGAAGATGACTAATTCAAAAAGTTTCTTGATATGTTCAAGCACTTGCATATCAACATTCTTTTTGTGGAAGCTTTGGAGCAAACGCCCAAATATGCTAAGTTCATGAAAGATGTGCTCTCTAAAAAGAGAAAGTTCAATGAGTTTGAGATGGTTGCTCTAACTAAGAGTTGTACGAATATCATTAAGCAACTACCTCAAAAGTTGAAGGATCTCGGTAGCTTCTCAATTCCGTGTCATATTGGAAATAAATTTTTGGGTAAGGCATTATGTAATCTTAGTACCAGTATCAATCTTATGCCTCTCTCTATTTTCAATAAATTGGAGTTGGGTGAAGCTAGACCAACAACCGTGACTTTGCAATTAGCGGATAGAAGCTTGGCTTATCCAAATGGTGTTATTGAAGATGTTCTTGTAAAAGTGGATAAATTCATTTTTCTGGTTGATTTCATTATCCTTGATTGTGAGGCGAATCGTGATATTCCTATTATCTTAGGAAGACCATTCTTGGCAACCGCTAGAACCTTGATTGATGTTGAAAAAGGTGAGCTTACTATGAGGGTGGATGATGAGCAAGTCACTTTTAACATGCACAAGTTGATGAAATCTTCTAATGATCTTGAACAATGCTTCTTTGTTGATATGCTTGATCAAGTTGCACAAAAGAATTCAATGAGGAAATTCCTAATGATTTTTTGGAAGCCTTATTGCTAGGAGCTCAATTAAAGACTTAAGATGGAGAAGAGTGTATGGCTATCATGAATGCATCACCAGTTTATCCTAGAACCGTGTCCAATTTGAATCTCTAGATTTATCTTCTCTTGGTAGACTATTTTTGAAATCCTCTATGAAGAGCCACCATCTCTTGAGTTAAAGACGTTACCTTCTCATCTTTGGTATGTCTATTTAGAAGCCAACAACACTTTACCAGTGATTATTGCTGCTGACTTGAATGAACAATAAGAAGAGCAACTTGTGAAAGTATTGAAAGCTCACAAGAGAGCTATTGGGTGAACTATTGTCGACATAAAGGGTATTAGCCCTTCAATTTGCATGCATAAGATTTTCCTTGAAGACAATCATAAAACTTCTGTGGAACATCAAAGAAGGTTGAATCCTATTATGAAGGAAGTTGTGAAAAAGAAGATCTTAAAATGGCTTGAGGCGGGCATTGTCTATCATATCTCTGACAGCTCTTGGGTGAGCCCAGTTCAATGCGTTCCAAAAAAAGGAGGCATGACTGTAGTGGCTAACACCAATAATGAGCTATTCTTACCCACATTGTTACTGGATGGAGAGTATGTATGGATTACTGAAAGCTAAATGCAGCTACTAGGAAAGATCAGTTTCCTTTTCCCTTTATTGATCAAATGCTTGACAAATTAGCTGGAAGAGAATTCTTTTGCTTTCTTGATGGGTATTCAGGCTATAACCAAATGTTATAGCTTCAGAGGATCAAGAAAAAAATGACATTCACGTGTCCTTATGGAACTTTGCTTTCAAGCGCATGCCTTTTGGGTTATGCAATGCACCGGCCACTTTTCAGAGGTGTATGATAGCAATTTTCTCTGATATGATTGAGCAAACTATGAAAGTCTTATGGATGACTTTACGGTTTTTTGGAGATTCATATGAGGAGTGCTTGATCAACTTGGCCAACGTGTTGAAAAGATGTGAAGAGATCAACTTGGTCTTGAATTGGAAAAAATGCCACTTCATGGTTAAAGAAGGCATATTTCTTGGCTATAAAATCTCCAAAAATGGCTTGGAGGTAGATAGAGCCAAAATTTCAGTGAGTGAGCAACTTCCCCCACCTACTAATATTAAGGGTGTGAGAAGTTTTCTTGGCCATGCGGGATTTTATTGCCGCTTCATTAAAGACTTTCTCCAAAATAGTCAAGCCTCTTTGCACTCTTCTTGAGAAAGATGTTGAATTTAAATTTAATGATTCATGCTTGAAAGCATTTGAAGAGTTGAAGAAAAGACTTGTATCTACGCCTATCATGATGGCTCCTGATTGGAGTTTGCCTTTCATTGTGATGTGTGATGCTAGTGACTTTGCTGTAGGTGCTATGCTCAACCAAAAGAAAGAAAAAGTGCTTCACCCAATTTACTATGCTAGCAGAACACTTGATGATGCTCAAGAAAACTACACACCATGACTGAGAAAGAGCTTCTTGCAGTGGTGTTTGCTTTTACCAAGTTTAAAACATACCTTGAGGGTACTAAGGTGATAGTTTACACCGACCATTCAGCTTTGAAGTACTTATTCAATAAGAAGGAGTCTAAAGCAAGGTTAATTCGATGGGCACTACTTCTACAAGAATTTGACTTGGAGATTATTGATAGGAAGGGTACTGAGAATCAAGTGGCGGACCATCTTTCTAGGTTGAGTACTAATGCTCAACTTAAATCTAATGTTGTTATTGATAAAGCTTTTCCTGATGAGCAACTCTTTAAGGTTGACAATATTTAAACACTGTAGTATGCAAACACTGTCAACTATCTTGTTTGTGGCATCTTGCCCTTTGATTTGAAGTTTCATCAAAAGAAAAAGTTTCTCCATGATTCTAAGTTGTATTTTTAGGAAGAAACCCTATCTGTTTCACCAATGTGCCAATCAAATGATTAGAAAGTATGTTCCAGAGTGTGAGCAACAAGAAATTCTAAGATGTTACCATTCTTCTGACTATGGAGGCCACTTTGGGGGTGACAAGGCAGCATCTAAAATCTTGCAAAGTAGTTTCTATTAGCCCTCTTGGAAAACTCCAAGATAACTTCCAAATGGAAGGATTTCAAAGCCAAAGATACATCCCAGGCCAAGGAAGAAATAAAGACCAAGTTCAGGGTAAAACTTCTAACCCTAAACCTTCTTCTTATTCATCTAACACTTCTCCTATTAAGTGTTTCAAATGTCATGGTATGGGTCACATGGTGAAAGATTGTAGCAATAAAAAGGTTATGATCTTGAGAGATGATGGTGGCTATGATAGTGTGCATGAAAGTGATAAAGATGATGCTGATAATGTTGATGATGATTCTACCTCCCATGAATCAAATGATGAGCTTGAATGCAATAGTGTAGTTGACTCTATCTTAGTGGCAAGAAGAGCTCTCAATATTCAACCAAAGGAGGATGATGAACATGAGCAACGCAAGCATATTTTTCACACTAGATGCTTTATCAAAGAGAAAGTGTGTAGCATGGTAATTGATAGTGGCAGTTGCACTAACGTCGCTAGCACTTTACTTGTAAATAAATTATCTTTACCTTTAATTCCATACCCTAAGCCCCACAAATTGCAATGGTTGAATGATTCTGCTGAAATTAGGGTTTCTAAGCAAGTGTTGATTACTTTCTCTCTGTGGGAGTTTATACTTGTGATGTATTATGTGATGTAGCCCCTATGCTTGCTGGACACTTGTTATTAGGTAGGCCTTGGCAATTTGATAGTAAGGCTACTCATGATGGTTTTAGAAATTGTTACAAGGTGCCTTTTAAAGGCAAGATTATTGTATTAAATCCTCTTAGGCCCATCTAAGTCTATGAAGATCAACTAAAGATTACTCAAGATTACAAGCAAAGGAGAGATCTCCTTGATTGTGGCATGAGTAAGAGAGAAAAGAAAGAGAGTATTACTTTACTTGAAAATCAATCAAAAGAGAGGAAAAAGAGTGGTGAGAAGGTAAGAAAAGAAAAAAAAATAGAATAGTGGGAGTGAAGGAAAATAGTGAAAAGAAAATATTATTGTGTGGGAAAAGTAAGATTCAAGAGGCTTTGATGAGTGAGCAAGCTCTTATTGTAATTCCTAAGAATATATATTTTTCTACTAATACTTTTAACCCCACTTTGCCTTCTAGTGTTGTCTCTTTGTTGCAGGATTATAGAGATATATTCCCTGATGAAATTCTTGATAGACTTCCTCCCTTAAGAGGAATTGAGCATAGGATAGATTTCTTGCCCGGAGCTACTATTCCAAACAAGCTTGCTTATAGGGCTAACCTTAAAGAGACTAAGGAGATCCAGTGCCAAGTAGAGGAATTGATGGTGAAAGGCTTTGTGCGTGAGAACCTTAGCCCTTGTGCTGTCCCTATTATCTTGGTGCCAAAAAAAGACAGATCTTGGAGGATGTGTGTTGATTGTAAAGAAATCAACAAAATCACTGTAAAGTATCGTTACCCTATCTCTAGACTTGATGATATGCTTGATGAATTACATGGTGCTTCTATCTTTTCTAAAATTGATCTTAGAAGTGGTTATCATCAAATTCGTATGAAAGAGGGTGATGAATGGAAAACTACCTTTAAAAGTAAATTTGGGTTATATGAATGGTTAGTTATGCCTTTTGGTTTGACCAATGCTCATAGTACTTTTATGGCATTAATGAATCATGTTTTTAGAAAGTTTAAAGGCAATTTTGTTGTGCTTTACTTTGATAAAATTCTGATTTATAGTAAATCTTTGACTGATCATATGAATCATTTTAAAGCTAAGTTTGTACAGGACTTACATTCTAAGGTTAAAGCAAACATAGAGCGAAAGAATGAGCAATATGCCAAGCAAGCTAATAAAGGCAGGAGACATGTGATCTTTGAGCTTGGAGATTGGGTTTGGTTACATTTAAGGAAAGAGAGATTTCCTAATCAAAGGAAGTCCAAACTTCAAGCTTGAGGAGATAGACCTTTCTAAGTTTTGGAAAGAATTAATGATAATGCTTACAAGATTGATTTGCCTAGCTCTTATGGCAATGTTAGTGCCACATTTAATGTTTCTGATTTATCTTTATATGATTCTGCAGATTCAAGGACGAATCCTTTCCAACTGGGAGGGAATGATGGACCTTATGGCATGGGTGACACAGCATTACTGGCAATGAAACTTGAGGATGGTAATCATGAGCATGATGACATAGAAGGAGCCCAATACTTCCAATCCAACGTACCTAAAGACCCATTACAATATATTGGAGGTCCAATGACAAGAGCCCGAACTAAAGCCATGAAGCAAGCCTTGTCCAGTCTTGTGCAAGAAGTTCAAGAGCTTGAAGAGCATTGGGGCACTCCTTTCAAGCCCAAAGGAGAGCATCTATACATGTATAACGTATTTAAGATCCAAACTCATGAAGAGTCAAGCCCAAGAGATGCAGACCTTAGCCCAATGCAAGGAAGACTACAAGTTGAGCTTCTTGCAAGCAAAGAGGCATGAAACCCTAGTGAAGAAGTCAAGGGTGGCGTGATTTTAAATCCTTTATGATCCTTGATTGTCTCCTAAATTATTTCCTATTTTAATGGTCCTTTGATTTGATTTTCTATTTTGAGTCTAGTCAAAGGTTAGAATTAATTATAGTATTAATTTCTAAATTTTGTAATCCCATAATTTTAGGATCACATCTCCTAAATTATGTGGTTGAATATTTTATCATTATTTTATATTATTTCTCCTTTTAGTATTAGGAAATTAGGGTTTTAATTTTAGGAAATATTCTTTTCTATGAGCCTATATAAATTAGGCATGCTCCCTATTGTAAACAACACAGAAGTTGAATGAAATTATTCATTTTTAGAGTTTATAACTCTTGTGAGCCTTAGTGCTTTGTGGTGGCATCCCGTGTGAGAAACAGACGTGATCAAGAGCGTTATCAACTCTTGTGGTGTCTTCGAAGGTTGAGGTTCCTAGAGGCAGGTGCTCTAGAGGATCTTCTTAATCATTATCCTATTGTTTACTTCATACCTTTATTTATTTCCGTCATAAATTTCGTCCCTTTCTTTTTGTTCTTGTGTTTTTGTTGTTTCAGGGTTTTGTCCCTAAACTAGCACGATTCTGCTTCCGCATCTCCTATCAGTAGGGCTAGTAGAGCACTTTAGGCTAAAGAATGCCAGAAATGAAGTGTCAAGTTCATTAAGTATCTTTGGCAAATACCACAGTATGTGCTCATTGGAGCTTCAGAGGTATTCATGTATGTTGGTCAATTAGAATTCTTCAATGGGCAAGCACCTGATAGACTAAAGAGTTTTGGAAGTGCGCTTTACATGACTTCAATGTCTCTAGGAAACTATGCAAGCAGTTTGATTGTTGCTATTGTTATGAAGATTTCTCACAGAGATGGCAAGCCAGGATGGATCCCTAGAAACCTTAACAAGGGACGCTTGGACAAGTTCTATTTTCTTTTGGCTACATTGACAGTAGCAGATCTCACTATCTACATTGCTTGTGCTAAGGGGTATAGGCATGTTAAATTTGAAGAGAGGAGTGATGAAGAAAACAATTGCTAATTCATCAAACCCAAAGCTTAGGGTATGAGGATTTTAAATGGAAAGAGCATATATAAATCATATTTTTATCCACTGAAGTTCAGAGTTTCAAAAGTGCTTCTTCTATGCATAAATTTTAAAGAAAACTATTTTATTTACAATAGTGTGTGTCACAGTCTTTTAATTTGTAAGTATGAGTCTAGTGGTTGATTTATATCCATAAGTAGGTCCCTGATAGGTAGATAAATTTGCTGGCCCTTTTTCACTCTTAGTTGCAAGCGTTACATAAATTCCAATCGATGGCAAGAAAGTTTAAGATTATTTATTAATATTTCATCTAAGCAATTAAGTCACTTTATCATTTATTTTATCAAAAAATTTAACCGTTGTTAATTTAATTGTAACCTATTATAGATTCAAACTACATTCTTATTAATTAATTATAAAAATTTAAATTTTCCAAGTAAAGCTATTTTAGGCAAACGTACCTATTAATTAATTTATTTCTTTGACAATGCATTGGTTTTTTTAATTTGTTGAAAGATTTTTAATTAAATAATTTAAAATTTTCTAAATTAATTTAATAGTATTTGGTAATATGATTTTTAGCTTTCATCGATCATACTTGACTTAAAATGTAATTGACAAAATGAAATTGATTTAAACAATAGAAGTGTCAATTAATTTAGCTTTGACTACTTATTATCGAAAAACAAATTTGGCTTTGAGTACAGGTTGAAAGGTTGCTTTTGAGGTTGATAAAGTGACTTATTATACATTTAATATTGGTGCATATGCATGAATATAAATAACGTAATTTATAGGGAAAATTATGTATATATCCCATGGAGTAGAATTGTTTACAAAGAAGTCCTACAAATTTGAATACTGCAGCAAATCTCTTGGAATCTGAGTGTAATTTGAAATAAGGCTGTAAAGACAATAATATTGTACAATAATATCCTATAATTAATGTACAACTATTTTATTAGCAATTTACAACTATAATTTTAACTTTTTATAGTTGTAACTTTACATATTCAATAGTTAAATAATCATATGTTACAAACAAAATTTAATATTAATTGTTTACAACCATTTTATGAGTAATTTATAATTATAATTTTAACTTTTTATAATTGTAACTCCATATATTCAATAGTTAAACTAATCAATTTAATTATTAGATATATGAAGTTACAATTATAAAAAGTTAAAGTTATAGTTGTATAATACTAATAAAGCTGTTGTAAATTATTTAACTAGTATAATTTATATATATTTAATAGGAGCATTATTGTTCTTTTACTCCAATTTCAAATTACATTCAAGTCCCAAAGGACATAGTTGTGGTTTCTCAATTTTGTGAAACTTCTTTATAAATAAGTCAGCTCCATGGGGCTTATATATAATTTTTCTAATTTATATTAATTTTATTAAATTATTTAAATGTTACTTATTTAATAGCTAAGATTGTTTTACTTATTTAATTAGTGTAAATTAGATTAAATTATATAGAATTTAATTGGTTATCGGCCAATTTGGTGCCTGGTCCTTCAAGTCTATTTAACCATCTCCTTTAATTTTGTTATTAAGATTTTAAATGAACTTAAGGCCAAACAAAGTTTTTGATAAGCTTAGGATTGAGCTTAAAAAGGGCCTTATATAGCCTACAAGCTAGACCGAAGCTTTAAATCCTACAATCCAAGCAAGATTTATATAACCATAACTTATATTTTCATTTTTACTTAAACCCAAATTTTTGGCATGCTGTAACAACTCATTTAATTAATTAAAATGAAATAATTAAGTATATATTCAGAGTCAACATTGTTTTATGAATGATTTGGAAGACAAGAGTACAATTGTCACATGAATAACTAAATGTTTTGCCATTATACCCAATATAAGCGATTATTTGATATTGAGTTATAAGCCTATTCGTTAGTTTTGGAACATGAACAAAGTATAGAGACATTAGAGGGATCTAAAATATTAAAAAACAAAAATATAAAGACCTAAAACACCGAGAAAAAGAAGTACAGGGGACCAATAGCAAAAACATGAGTAAAGTGCAAAAATCTAAAGTTATGTTTTTTTTAATTTTCTTAGGCTTTGATATATGTGGGAAGCCCAAAGAAGTTCATTTACAAGAGAAATTGGGACAAGAGAGTATTTTAATCCACAGTAGCATTTTTTTAACTCGTCATAGCACTGATTGGTTGACACTTACTATTATTGAATTTTAATAACATGAATTTGTAGAAATTATGTTGATTCATTTAGATGCTTTCTTACTTGTATGTAGAGCTAGTAATTCAGGCAGGTTAGGCTTATTTGGATCGGGCTCAATTTGGGCCGAGCTTATTTCTGACTTGAAGTATTTTACTCTTTTTAAAAAGCTCATATAGCTAAACCCGATCCTAACACCTTCAGACTTCAAGCTTGTTCCGGATGGCCTGAATACCCAAAACTTTTTAAAAATATTTTTTTTTATTTTTTGAACAAATTCTAATTTTTAAATAATTCTATTAAGCATAAAATATTATTTTAAATTTAAAAAAATAAAATAAAAAATAATTTATCAACTTTGTACTTAAGTAGCTCTATTATTATTTTATTGTATTATGTGTAATTTATTCATAAATATTTCCTTTACTTGTAAATTAATATTTTCATTGTTTAAATATTGCTCTTATCATAGTCATATATAAATATTTTATATATGTTTAATTAAATTATTTTATTTTAATTATCATTAAGTTGATTTAAATTTAATTATAATTAGACTACTAACTTAAAATTATTGTCCCGATTAGTTTAAAGTTTTTTAATAACTTTTGGGTAAATTTTAATTTTCATTTTTATGAATATAAACATCATTACATTACATAAAAAAATTATTTAATTAGAGTAAAATATTATTTTTTTCAAATCTTTTTTTAACTTTGTATATTGTTTAACTCTTACATATAAGAAATTTTTACTCTAATTTATTCTTAATTTTTAACTAAGTATCATATAGACAATGACCAAGTAATTATTCAAGAGTATTATCCTATTTATTATGTTTATTTAGTAATAGAGTTGAGAATTTGTTCATGCCTGAATTTTATTTTTAAAATTATTTTTATTTTAAAATTAATTATCTTAATTTATAAAAAATATAAAATTAATTGTTTTATACACAAATGATGTATAAGACTCAATTTTTTTTAAAAAAATTGAGTCTTAAAATATTAAAATATATTTTAAATATCATTTTGAGATATTTTATTGACTAAAAATAATAAAAATATGAAATATAACTATTTTTATTTTTTAAAAGTATAAATATATTAAAAAACTCAAATATATAGTATTTTGATATAAAATTATATAAAATTAAAAATTTAATTAATATTTATCATGTCTTATATATTTTTTAAAAAATTATTTTTTTATTTGGCTATTCAGGCCAAACCCAAACTCGGTCGGGCTTGGCCCAAATTTTCTCGAGCCTATTCGAGCAGCTTGAATTGGCTGAAACAATAACAAATTAATATTTTGTTCGAGCTTGGCCCTAAATTTTTCAAGCGGGTTCAGGTTGGCCTATTGAATTTGACCCAAATTACCAACTCTACTTGTATGAACCTTTCGCCAATGTATATCTATACCTTGATAAGTTTTTATAAATTCATGGCCAAAGCTTATTGAGTTTGAATTAGTTGACCATGGTTGCTTGATGCTTGAAATGGATTGATGCTAGTAATTTTCAAGAGGGAAAATGATAATTTAGTCCCTCAAAATGCCATAATTTTTTTTGAAGTTCCTAGAAACTTTTCTGTTATTAATGAATTTATATAAATTATCAAGTTTCCCTTATTAAAATAAATGATTCACAAGTTTTGTTTAAATAGTTACAACTTTCCTTCTTATATTCGCAATAATCTAACAGCAAATAAGGAATTAAAATGTAAAGTTGTGATTTGTTGTTGTATTATTGTAAATATAAGAAGAAAGTTGTAAATTTAAACAAAACTTGTGAATCATTTATTTTCAACAAGGGCAATTTGATAATTATAAAAATTCATTAATGATAAAAGTCCCTAAAGACTTCAAAGAAATTATTACATTTTAAGGGACCAGCTTATCATTTATATATTTTAGAGGGATTTTATTGTCATTTTCCTTTCCTTTTTAAAAGTCTCACTCTTCTCCTTATGTCACAAATCATTAGTGCAGGTTCATCCAAGAACCAAGGCAAGAAGAAAGAGCAATGAAGCATGTTATTTTCTAGAGAGAATAACAAAGAGATCCTAAATGGACCAATGAATTCAAAGTAGGTCTCAAATGCCAAACTATAAAAATTTGCAACTCAATTTTTTAATTTTACAACTGTGTTGTAATAAATTTGTAACTTATTTTCTAAATTTTAACATGAATGAAGAATTAAAATTATTTGTCTTGTTAAAATTTGAAATATAAGTTGTAAATTCATCATAATAGAGTTGTAAAATTGAGAGATTGAATTACAAATTTCTAAAATTTATTACTTGAGATCTAACTTGAATTAATTGATCATTTTGGGACCTCTCTGCCATTCTCCCTATTTTCTATACCTTGCTTTTAATTATATTTTGGTATGTTTTTTGGTACTTTAACATGCATGCATGCATGCATACATTATAAATTTCCATCATTTTATTTTGAAGTTGTAAGTATGGAAGATAGATTACCAATATGTTTATAGTTCATTTAGAATCATGAATAGGATTTATTTTGGTATGTAAATATTTTTATGTATGGTGTTAGTTATCAAGTGAAAGTACTTATCTAAGGAAGCAAGTTTGGTAAAGGTATTGTTGTAGCTACATAATGATTATCACTTTAAATTTTGAAAAACTTATAGAGGACATATCAAGCTTCAAATGAGGTCCTAAACCATTAAATTGAGAAACATATATCACGGGATATGATTTTTACAAGATAAGGTTAAAAATTTGGCAAATATTCCTCAAGGTTACTAAACAGATGAGGAA